CACACACACACACACACACACACGCACACACACACACACACACACACACACACACACACACGCACACACACACACACACACACCGGTGTCACACAGGCTGCTTAATCAGCATGCTGGGCTCTATAACCTAATGACAGTCAGCCTATTTTAACACGTGAATGAAACCACATCAACCAACAGCACAAGAATCTGAGTGAAATGCAGGCATGAAAGCAGATTTTATACAAACTGCTAATGTTAGAAACCGTAACAAAAAGGATAAAATTATTTTCACAGGCTATTTATTACTGCATGCTGCTGTTGTGGATCATTKAGTGTTAAATCTAAAAAAACATATGCTAAAGCTCTTAACCAWCAGTTTGGAGTTTTCCATGGGATGAAGACTTTCCATGCATGCACCCACTGCAGGAATTTTTCAGACAAACRGTCTCCAGGTCTTTAACCAACTCTGTGGAGTTTTTAGACTTTGAATGGCAACAGGCTTCAGATCCACAAACACAACAAAATGTGAGCGCAGCGTTGCTATCTGCTGCTGAATCATCTGTGGTTTCTGGTACAGAAGTCAAAGCTGTTGTCATTTCCTCATGAAAAAGTCAGCAGGTTTGTGGTTTCCCTTTTTTTTTTTTTATAAACCCTGTCTGGTCATTTTCCTTTTACGGACTAAAACCGTCTTACTTTTGAGCTAAAAACTTTCAACAGAGACTGATCCACAAGCATTTTTCAGCTGAGGTGGATTTTTTTTTATGTTGATGGAGGGGAATTGTTGCCATCTGATAATTACTGCAAGAAAAATAAATCGTGTAGTTATGTAACTCGCTGTGTGGGAATGAGCTTTTTAATCAAAAACTGTATTTTTCTAAAGAAAACACCTGGTGWATAGTTACACGTGTTAACAGCTGACTGAAACAAGATGTTAAACATTAACGTTTGAAATGATGCAATTTTGCTGAACCAACAAAAAGCGGTCACAAGTACAGACAGTGCCTACCTTTTCTTATATTTAAGGGCTTGCAACTTCCAGTAATCAGCTTCTTCGTCTTTTGATGAAAATTTTGGAATCATCTCTGCGTCCATGTCAAAGCACCCTGTGAATAACATTGATATGATTAATATTATTGATAATAACAATGGTAATAATAAAAAACAATTTTAACACTTTTGCAAGCAAACTTCCTCAGTGTGCAGGACTTGTTTGTGACTCGGGAATGACACAAAGTGTTRGCGGTTTTTGTCGTCTTGGCATGTAGAAGCAGGCACGGTGAGTTCCTTTCTTATCTTAAAGCCGAGCGTCCAATCAAAGCAGAAATTACTCACATTCCTAACTGCAGATWAAAAAAAAGATCTAAGGGGAAAAGCTAAAATAATGTGTCCAACCGAGTTCATGCTTGGTGTATCAACGATGTAACTCAACCCTAAGTGTATCTCATATCCTTTTTTTTTTCTAAATTAATTCACTTAATTCCCCATGACCAGTGCAGAAAGCCTTTCTATCACTGATTTCCTACCTCCAACTAAAATACAACTTTGGACCTCCTTGCAGCTCAGCTCATGTTAGTACAAAAAGTCCCCAGACAACAGTCTCTCCAAACTAAATGTAGGTGATGCCAAACAGATCAGAAACTTGGAACCACAATCCAGATGTGAAATTTTAATGAAGTATTTAAAGTGTTGAAACTACAGTCCTGTTTTCAGAAGTAGCAACACAGGAAGTTGCTTCTCTCTTTCTGATTGGCTTTCAACCGCTGCCTCCGTCTGAGATCTTTGTAAAGCAAACACGTAGTTTTCAGCAAATCTTTAAAAAGCATCTGGAAACAATTGCTGCGTGTCTTTATGTGAATAAGATGAGGAGATGCTGGACATGGTTTAGACCAGTGTTTCCCAAAGTTGGGGGTCGGGACCCAAAGTGGGGTCCCAAAACATCAAGGTGGGGTCCTGAAAAGATTTTCTGAATTAATTACATTTTTGCCTCAGTTGTTACAAAGGAGTGAGGTTGGTGTATTTAAAATGGATAAATGTAGTATAAAAATATTGTTACTATGCCCATGTTTAGTTGACC